CTAAAACTTTTTTTTATTCCCCATATAAACCTGTTTTGGTTTATTACCCATCAAAACCTTTTTTTTGGTTGATTCACCCACTAACCTTTTTTTGTTCCTCTCTAACCTTTTTTTTTAATTCCCCCATCCTTTTTTTGGGAAAATTCCCAACCCAATCTAAACCTTTTTATTATCACCCCATCCTGTTTTTTGGTTTTTAAAATTCGGGGCCCAAAAAAAACCCTTTTTTACACCCCATACCCTCAACCTTTTTGGTTGTTAAAAGGGCCATCAAAACCTTTTTTGGTTATTCCCCCATCTCCTTTTTGGGTTAAAAATTTTCACCCTCTCCTTTTTGGGTTTTATTCGGGCCCATTTTTAAACCTTTTTTGGTTTTAACCCAAATAAATGTTTTGGGTTAATTCAGTGGCCCAAAAAACTTTTTTACACCCATCAAACCTGTTTTGTTACATCCCAAATCATAACCTTTTTTTTATTAGGGGCCCAATAACTTTTTTTATTTCAGGGCCCATCATAATGGGTTATTCAACCCTCAAAAAAGTTTTTTGATTCAGGCCCAACATAACTTTTGGTTGATTCACCATCATAACCTTTTTTTGTTCCTCCCATAACCGTTTTTGGGATTCCCGGGCCCACATAACCTTTTTTGTTTCACCCCATCATAACCTTTTTTTTTTTAAGGGCCCCAACATAAACCTTTTTGTTATTTTCGGGGCCCAAAAACCTTTTTTTGATTCCCCATCATAACCTTTTTTGGTTGACAGGGCTCAAACTTTTTTTTTTAACCCAAAATCATCCTTTTTGGGTTGATTCACCCACATAACCCTTTTTTTGGTTTTTTCCTCTTTTAACCCTGTTTGGGATTCACCCCATCTCCTTTTTGGTTGACAGGGCCAAAAATTTTTATTGACTAGAGGTAAAAAAACCCGGTTTTTTGAAGGAAAACCCTGTTTGGGTTTTTCAGGCCCTTCCTTTTTGGTGTTGGGACAAATGTTTTGGGTTCAGGCCCCAATATCCCTGTTTTGGTTGATTCAGAGGCCAAAAAACCAGAATCACCCATCAAAACCTGTTTTGGTTTTAAAGGGGCCCATCTAACCCTGTTTTGGTTGTTCGGGATAAATTTTTTGTTGATTAGGGCCATAAAACTTTTTTGGTTTGATTTGGGGGCCCTCTAATTTTTGGGTTTTTCGGGGCCCATCAAACCTTTTTGGTGATTCACCCCCTTTAACCTGTTTGGTTTGTTACCCCCTCAAAACCTGTTTTGGTTGTTTTTCGGCCCTCATAACTTTGTTTTGGTTGATTCAGGGCCCATCAAAACCTGTTTTGGTTGTTCAGGGCCATCAAAACCCTGTTTTGGTTTGATTCAGGGCCCATCTAACCTGTTTTGGTGTTTCAGGGGCCCATCAACCCTGTTTTGGTTGTTTCGGGCCCATCAACTGTTTTGTTGATTCGGGGCCCTATAACCTGTTTTGGTTGATCGGGCCCCCCTCAAAACCTGTTTTGGTTTATTCAGGGGCCCATCAAAAACTTTTTTTTGGTTGATTCAGGGGCCCATCATAACCTTTTTGGTTGATTAAAAGGGCCCCCATAAAAACCTGTTTTGGTTTTTCGGGGCCCATCATAACCTGTTTGGTTGTTTCGGGGGCCCTCATAACCTTTTTGGGGTTGTTCGGGCCCAAAAACCTTTTTTTGGTTGATTAAAGGGCCCATCAAACCTGTTTTTGGTTGATTCGGGGCCCATCATAACCTTTTTGGTTGATTCAGGGCCCATCTAACCTTTTTTTGGTTTGATTCAGGGCCACAAAACCTTTTTTGGGGTTGTTTCAGGGCCCCATATAACCTGTTTTGTTGATTCAGGCCCATCATAACCTTTTTGGTTATTCGGGGCCCATCATAACCTGTTTTGGTTGTTCAGGGCCAAATAACCTTTTTTGGGTTGTTCAGGCCCATAACCTTTTTTGGTTGATTCAGGGGCCCCACATAACCTTTTTTTGGTTGATTCGGGGCCCTCATAACCTTTTTTGGGTTTGATTCAGGGCCCATCATAACCTGTTTTATTTTCGGCCCAATAACCTTTTTGGTTGATTCAGGGCCCCATCAAAACCCTTTTTGGGTTGATTCGGGGCCCTCTAACCTGTTTTGGTTTGATCGGGGCCATCATAACCTGTTTGGTTAATTCAGGGGCCCATCATCCCTGTTTTGGTTGATTCAGGAATCATAACCTTTTTTGGGTTGATCGGGCCCTAAACCCTGTTTTGGTTGATGGGGGCCCATCAAAACCCTGTTTTGGTTATTCAGGGCCCATCATAACCTGTTTGGTGTTCAGGCCCACTAACCTGTTTTGGTTGATTAGGCCCTTATCCCTTTTTTTGGTTGATTCGGGCCCATCAAAACCCTGTTTTGGTTAAATTCAGGGCCCTTCAAAACCCTTGTTTTGGTTGATTCAGGGCCCATCATAACCTGTTTTGGTTGATTCAGGGCCCATCATAACCTGTTTTGGTTGATTCAGGGCCCATCATAACCTGTTTTGGTTGATTCAGGGCCCATCATAACTTGTTTTGGTTGATTCAGGGCCCCCCAGCATAACTTTTTTTGGGTTGATTCAGGGCCCATCATAACCTGTTTGGTTTGATTTCAGGGCCCATCATAACCTGTTTTGGTTGATTCAGGGCCCATCATAACCTGTTTTGGTTGATTCAGGGCCCATCATAACGTGTTTTGGTTGATTCAGGGCCTATCGTAACTTGTTTTGGTTGATTCAGGGCCCATCATAATTTGTTTTGGTTGATTCAGGGCCCATCATAACCTGTTTTGGTTGATTAAAGGGCCCTTTCATAACCTGTTTTTGGTTGATTCAGGCCCATCATAACCTGTTTGGTTGATTCAGGGGCCCATCATAACCTGTTTTGGTTGATTCAGGGCCTATCATAATTGTTTTGGGTGATCAGGGCCCATCATAATTTGGGTTTTGATTGATTCAGGGCCCATCATAACCTGTTTTGGTTGATTCAGGGCCCCCATCATAACCTGTTTTGGTTGATTCGAGGCCCATAAATAACCTGTTTTGGTTGTTTTCAGTGCCCATCATAACTTGTTTTGGTTGATTTCAGGGCCCATCATAACTTGTTTTGGTTGATTCAGGGCCCATCATAACCTGTTTTGGTTGATTCAGGGCCCATCATAACCTGTTTTGGTTGATTCAGGGCCCATCATAACCTGTTTTGGTTTGATTCAGGGCCCATCTAACCTGTTTTGGTTGATTCAGGGCCCATCAAACCTGTTTTGCTTGATTCAGGGCCCATCATAACCTGTTTTGCTTGATTCAGAGCCCATCATAACCTGTTTTGGTTGATTCAGGGCCCATCATAACCTGTTTTGGTTGTTTAGGGCCCATCATAACCTGGTTTTGGTTGATTCAGGCTCATCATAACCTGTTTTGGTTGATTCAGGGCCCATCATAACCTGTTTTGGTTGATTCAGGGCCCATCATAACTTATTTTGGTTGATTCAGGGCCTATCATAACCTGTTTTGGTTGATTCAGGGCCCATCATAACCTGTTTTGGTTGATTCAGGGCCCATCATAACCTGTTTTGGTTGATTCAGGGCCCATCATAACCTGTTTTGGTTGATTCAGGGCCCATCAAAAACCTGTTTTGGTTGTTTTTCGGGGCCCATCATAACCTGTTTTGGTTGATTCAGGGCCCACCCATAAACTGTTTTGGTTGTTTCCCGGGCCCATCAAAAACCTGTTTTGGTTGATTCAGGGCCCATCATAACCTTTTTTGATTGTTTTCAGGGCCCTTTCATAATTGTTTTGTTTGATTCAGGGGCCCATCATACCTGTTTTGGTTGATTCAGGGCGCATCATAACTTGTTTTGGTTGATTCAGGGCCCATCATAACCTGTTTTGGTTGATTCAGGGACCATCATAACCTCTTTTGGTTGATTCAGGGCCCATCGTAACCTGTTTTGGTTGGTTCAGGGCCCATCATAATCTGTTTTGGTTGATTCAGGGCCCATCATAACCTGTTTTGGTTGATTCAGGGCCCATCATAACCTGTTTTGGTTGGTTCAGGGCCCATCATAACCTGTTTTGGTTGATTCAGGGCCCATCATAACCTGTTTTGGTTGATTCAGGGCCCATCATAACCTGTTTTGGTTGGTTCAGGGCCCATCATAACCTGTTTTGGTTGATTCAGGGCCCATCATAACCTGTTTTGGTTGATTCAGGGCCCATCATAACCTGTTTTGGTTGATTCAGGGCCCATCATAACCTGTTTTGGTTGATTCAGGGCTCATCATAACCTGTATTGGTTAATTCAGGGCCCATCATAACCTGTTTTGG